AGAGAAGAGAGGAGAGAGAGAGGAGTGAGAGAGTGTGTGTGTAGCTTTTTAAATTTGCTCTTTGTTCTCATTGCTAGCATTTAGCTCCACGAGAACAAAGGTGCTTCTTTTAGTCAATGTCGGACCTCAGTGGCTGGCACGATGCCTGACAGATATGACGCTCTCAGTGAATACGCTAACTGAATGAAAGAAGGCATACAACGGTTTCCGAGAAGACCCTGAGGACAAGAGTCTATCACAATGTCATTTTAGTTGGATGAGAGTAGGGAAAACAAAACAAAACAAAACAAGAGGTCAGCCTTGGCTGCAGACCCCAGCTTAGTGGAAACCTGGTTCAGGACATCACCTCTTGATCCCATAGACCCACGCTATGGCGAGGGTTTCCAAGGTGACAATGAAGAGGATGGGAAGGACGAGCCAGTGGTCCTTCAGCAGCCGGTAGTAGTAGTAGCCTGAAGACTTAATGAAAAAGATGCTGCCCACGAACATGGTCAAAGACAGAGTCACTGGAAAACATTTCAGAATCAGAGTCAGGAATCTGGCCTGGGGGTGGGGGGCGACCAGGGCTAGGCAGGGTTACAGGCCAGGCCGGTGAGTGACGGTCACACAGTCAGGGCTCTGTGCGGGTGGGGTTCAGGGGCAGCGGGAAGGGAGGACAGAGGTCAGGGTACCTATGAAGAGCTTTGGGTACTTCCTGAAGCTATAGCAGGTGTCCTGAAGGGGGGTAATGACGCCCTGCACGATCCCAACCATGGAGGACAAGCCGAGGGTGAAGAGTTGCAAGAAGAAGAAGATGGACCAGTAGGAGGAGCCGGGAATGAATGACAGGGCTTCAATGAAGGCCAGGAAGGCAAAGTTGGATCCCGCTCTGATCTGTAAAAGGAGAAATCGCGAGAGTGGAGAGAAAAATTCCCGGAATCTCTTGCCTAGAAAACATCCTCAAAGTCCTAGATGACTGAGAATATCAGGTCTCCCAGGTGACCTTCTGTGATGGTTGTTATTCTGACCTTGTCTGCAACAGCTCTAAACCCTGCTCTCTCCTGAGCCAATCTTATTGGCTCTGAAACACTGACCCCCCCACTACCCCAGTCACGGAATCAATCCATCTCATTGAGGGTCTTCCTCTCCTGCGCTGTCCCTCCACCCTCCCAAACATGATGTCCCTCTCCAAAGACAGGTTCCTCCTTGCAACATGTCCACAGTATGTCAGACGAAGCCTCAGAATCCTTGCCTCCAAGGAGCAGCCTGGCTTCACCCTCTTCAGGACGGACTTGTTTCTTTTCCTACCAGTCCGTGGTATAGCCAATACTCTTCTCCAGCACCACAGCTCAAAGGCATCAATTCTCCTTCTATCATCCCTAGTCACTGTTCAGCTCTCTGATGTATACACAGCAAGTAATTGTGAAGACTATGGCCTGGATCAAGCGCACCTTATGCGGTATTCCTTTGATGATGTCTGGTGTAATGTAATCCTTCCCTTGAGATCACATATACTATACTCATCCTCTGGCTTCGGCCTTGTATAATGTAGTGACTTTAGTGATAAAATCTGCTACGAACAGCCAGTAAATGGAAAAGGAATTTCACCAGAGATGTGGCCAGCATCGAATATATATGGATGTTCCGATAAAGATCTCCTGCTTTTGCTTAATCTAAATTCCACATTTGAATTTTATTTCTAGTTCTTTGGACTTAAACTTGTGGCCTGCCTTACACGCCAAGCTTGAACCAGAGGCCAGCCTTACATGCCAAGCTTGAACCAGAAGCCGGCCTTACACGCCAACCTTGAACCAGAAGCCAGCCTTACACGCCAACCTTGAACCAGAAGCCAGCCTTACACGCCAACCTTGAACCAGA